CCCCCGGGGGGGGGGGTCGGGACAGGGGCTGCCATAAAGCACATCCACGCTATCCCAGCAGTGGGGGGTCTGAGCTGGCAGCACCCCCTCTTTCTGCCCCAGCTATCACCACCTCCCAGGGCGGCTTCCCCCCAGCTGGATCCCCCTGGCCAGCCCAAGGAACAGACCCAGGCCCAGCCCCCTCCTCACCAGCCTTACCTTCAAAGCTGAGGTCAGCTCCGAACTCCAGGAGGATTTCTGCGGCGGGGACGAGCCCCAGCTCGGTGACCTTCAGCAGGGCATAGCTCACGCCTTCCTGATAAAACGGGGAGTGGGTCTCCCTTTCCAAAACTCGTCTCACAGCTGCGAGCTGGCTCCTGTCACTACCCAAACAGGCAGGGCTTAAGACACACAAAACCAACCAGTTACTCAGCTGAAAGGCACGCATCTCAGGGGTGTGCAAGGGTCAAAGTAGCACCAGGGAAGAAGAAAATTCCCTGGTCTCCTCTCTTGCCTTGTAACCACCGGGTCCCTAGCCTGTTGGCTGTGGGGTTCTGCAGCAGCATTGGGGTCACAGCTGAACCCCAGGTTAGGTTTTATTGTCGTGGGTCAGGCAGAAAGGGCTGTTCCTGGGGAGCACATGTAGTCCCTGTGTTTTCTGTACTCCACCCCCACATTCCCAAAGAACAGCAGCAAGAGAAGGGTCTGTGGAATGAGCTGCTCACTGGAACTGGGGTTTATTCCCAGCCAGTGCTGTATTTGACCTCAGCTGCTTCACTGAGCTCCAGCTACCACCCCCTAAAACACCACATGGGTGTTCAGCCCCATCCAGTTACCTCTCAAGGGCGCTCTGCCTTTCCGCATCCTGTATTGCCAGCAACCCCAAGATCTCGTCTACCAGGGGCTGATACTCAAAGATGATCCTGCGGAAGCCATGCAGGAAAGGCATCGTGCTCTGCTATGTGCACAGACCGTCCAGGGGCCTCCAGCATTGCAGTGATGTCTTCCCCCACACAGGTCTCTGGCGGGTAGACCCTGGCGCTGTCTGGTTTCCAAAGGACTTCTCTCTCCTTTTAAAACAAATGAGCCTTTCTAGCAGTTTTGCATTTAGAAAAAAAAAAAGCCTTTCTCCCCTCCCTCCTTATGCTTCTAAAAGGCAATGAAGACCAGTGCAGGGATCCCTTCCCACACACCGTGGAGGTGTGTTCAAATTATCTCCTGCACACAGAGCTGCAAATTAGAGTTATCTGGGCGCAGGAAGAAAACACGCCAGGCGGAGCCCAGGCTCAGGGCAAACCGCATTTGCAGAAGCTCTGCCACAAGCCCCCACACGCTGGGGGTGCCAGGGGGAGGGCAGCCAGAGCAGAGATGGGTTCCAAGTGCTCCGGGGTGCCTGCAACCAGCAAACCTCTGCCTGCTTTTTGCGGGGAGCGCAGGGCTGGAGCAGCACCTGCAAGGCCAGGGGCCACCAACCCCCCTGCGACCCACAGGAACCAGTCCAGGGGCCACCAACCCCCCTGCGACCCACAGGAACCAGTCCAGGGGCCACCAACGCCCCTGCGACCCACAGGAACCAGTCCAGGGGCCACCAACGCACCCCCCCCCCCCCCCCCCTCCACCCCCCAGAC